TGCCAACATTCTCCTAACTCAGAGAAGTGGTGACAACATTCTCCTAACTCAGAGAAGTGGTGACAACATTCTCCTAACTCAGAGAAGTGGTGACAACATTCTCCTAACTGAGGGAAGTGATGCCAACATTCTCCTAACTCAGAGAAGTGGTGACAACGTTCTCCTAACTCAGAGAAGTGGTGCCAACGTTCTTCTGAGTGAGGGAAGTGGTGCCAACATTCTCCTAACTGAGGGAAGTGGTGCCAACATTCTCCTAACTCAAGGATGTGGTGCCAACGTTCTTCTAACTCAAGGATGTGGTGCCAACGTTCTTCTAACTCAGAGAAGTGGTGACAACGTTCTTCTAACTCAATGAACGTCTGATGATATATCTTGTTTTGCACCACGTGTTGAGATCTTAAATCAGATTTACCATTCACACATAGACATTCAAAACACTTAGTAACAACAAAAACAAATAAAATATGGAAGTGCACAATGTTTATGGTTCTCTAGAAGTGCACAATGTTTCTCGTTCTTCAGAAGGGTACAATGTTTCTGTTTCTGCATTATGAAATTATACTTTCTTAGTCGAGTAATAGACAGCAAACAATTACAAAGAACTGGTTAAAATAATTTCAAAAAGGGAAACATTAAGTAGTTAGTATTTCGGTAAAACGTAGATGAAAGTTACTTATTTGAAACAATAACATCATACTATTTTTATTTTTACAATGATTTGAACCATTTCTTTAAATTTTAATATTTTTTTAGAGAACCAGAAACATTGTGCACTTCTGGAGAACGAGAAACATTGTGCACTTCTGGAGAACCATAAACATTATGCACTTCTAGAGAACCATAAACACTGTGCACTTCTGGAGAACGAGAAATATTGTACCCTTCTGCAGAACCAGAAACATTGTACACTTCTGGAGAACCAGAAACATTGTACACTTCTGGAGAATCAGAAACTTTGTACACTTCTGGAGAACGAGGAACATTGTGCACTTCTGGAGAACCAGAAACATTGTACACTTCTGGAGAACAAGAAACATTGTGCACTTCTGGAGAACCAGAAACATTGTGCACTTCTGGAGAACGAGAAACATTGTACACTTCTGGAGAATCAGAAACATTGTGCTCTTCTGGAGAACGAGAAACATTGCGTTCTTCTGGAGAACGAGAAACATTGTGAACTTTTGGAGAACCAGAAATATTGTGCACTTTTAGAGAACCAGAAACATTGTGCACTTCTGGATAACTAGAAACATTGTGCACTTCTGGAGAACGAGAAGCATTATGCACTCCTCTACATTCACATAATATAACAAGTGGATTACATATCTAGTCACAATTAAGACACATCGATGTGAAAAAACACCAGGTTACAATACCGTAGATTGGAATTGAGTCACAAAGAGAGTAGCCATACTTGAATCTTGATTGATAATTCAAATTCTGGATTAATTTGTTAGCTTTCAATAAACCCAGAAATGGAGAGGTTTCGTAAGATATAATTTTCCAGAATTTCTCCAATTCTTTTCCCAAACTAAAACTGAAGTCCCTAGATAAATTAAAGCATGGTTAACAACCGACACAGACACTTTAGATAAATTAAAGCACGACTGGCAACCGACACAGACACTTTAGATAAATTAAAGAATGGTTGACAACCGACACAGACTCTTTAGATAAATTAAAGCATGGGTGACAACCGACACAGACACTTTAGATAAATTAAAGCACGATTGGACACCGACACAGACACTTTAGATAAATTAAAGCATGGTTGACAACCGACACAGACACTTTAGATAAATTAAAGCATGGTTAACAACCGACATAGACACTTTAGATAAATTAAAGCACGATTGGCAACCGACACAGACACTTTAGATAAATTAAAGCATGGTTGACAACCGACACAGACACTTTAGATAAATTAAAGCATGGTTAACAACCGACATAGACACTTTAGATAAATTAAAGCACGATTGGCAACCGACACAGACACTTTAGATAAATTAAAGCATGGTTGACAACCATGTATTAACACTAACTACTCTTGGTAATGAATTATACTTTATGAAATGATAATTGATTGAAATAAAAATACCGTAAAAATAATCTCAGTTAAATTTTGGAAAGACTGTAAACTTTTTTATTTTAACGAAGCAAACAAGACAGTCTGTAACACACAAGTTAAGACGTTAAAGTAAATAGTGAATAGTTTACCTATTATTTGACTCAAAGGTTCATACAAACAGGTAAATAATGAATGGTTTACCTATTACCTGACTCAAAGTTCATACAAGCAGGTAAATAATGAATGGTTTACGTATTACCTGACTCAATAGTTCATACAAACAGGTAGATAGTGAATGGTTTACCTATTACCTGACTCAATAGTTCATACAAACAAGTAAATAATGAATGGTTTACCTATTACCTGACTCAATAGTTCATACAAACAGGTAAATAATGAATGGTTTACTTATTACCTGACTCAATAGTTCATACAAACAGGTAAATAGTGAATGGTTTACCTATTACCTGACTCAATAGTTCATACAAACAGGTAAATAATGAATGGTTTACCTATTACCTGACTCAAAGTTCATACAAACAGGTAAATAATGAATGGTTTACCTATTACCTGATAAAAACCCAAATGTGTATATGAAACTTATTAATGTCGTATAACCAATTGCCTGACTGTAGTGTTAATTTATTTCTGTCGGTAGGGTAAAGTAACACAGTTTCTTGAGTTGTAACTTGACCTGTGTATTTTATTACTGAATACGGATGTTTAGTCACTGGTGAGCCTATATGTATGAAACTGGTTGATCATATGAACCCATTACCGGTTTAATTTGATCCATTTTGTCAGAAATATAAATACTTCATTTCATAAAAGATATATTTATATATGCTCGGAAAATTACTGACCTGTAGCGCCACCTGGGCCATCACATTCTTCATCCGGTGAACATTTCTGTGGTGTTCTACTTTTGGCTGTAGAAAAAGTATGCATTTGAAATATCATATTCAATAAATATCGCAGATAAGTACTTCCAACTACAGAAACTGTGACAATGTTATTTGTGTCTTTGAATACAGCTCTATTAACGACTTGCTAATATTTAGGTTAGAATAAAGAATCTTACACTTACCGAAGCACGTGTCTTCACACTCTTTCAAGATAAGGAATCTGTTTCCGTTACCGTTACAACCTCCGAAGTAAAATAATTCGCATTTCTTACTTTCAGTGTTGTAAAAGAAGCGTGGCTCTCTTCCTCCACAAGGTCCTACCACTTTTGGAAGATGACAGATATCTGTAAAATATTGGAAGATGACAGATCTTAGTAAAATTTCAATGTTATCAGTTAAACAATATTAAGGAAGTAATATTCTATGAAGTGAAATCTGAGATGATAGTGGTTCACAACCACCCCTTCTGCTGTTAATGGTTCACAACCACCCCTTCTGCTGTTAGTTGTTCACAACCACCCCTTCTACTGTTAGTGGTTCAAAACCACCCCTTCTGCTGTTAGTGGTTCACAACCACCCCTTCTTCTGTTAGTTGTTCACAACCACCCCTTCTACTGTTACTGGTTCAAAACCACCCCTTCTGCTGTTAGTGGTTCACAACCACCCCTTCTGCTGTTAGTGGTTCACAACCACCCCTTCTGCTGTTGTTATTGTATTAACTACAAATGAAATACACTGTTGCTGTATATTAACTTCAAGTAAATTATTGTTGTTGTATATTAACTTCAAGTAAAGTATTGTTGTTGCATACTAACTTCAAGTAAAGTATTGTTGTTGCATACTAACTTCAAGTAAAGTATTGTTGTTGCATACTAACTTCAAGTAAAGTATTGTTGTTGCATATTAACTTCAAGTAAGGTATTGTTGTT